GCTGGGAGGCTTTACAATTATTAATATTTATATTGTTACGACCTTTAGAGACGTTGTTTTGGGTGACATGACTGTTTGAATTTGGCTTCCGGAAGCGTTGGAGGTCCTTGTAGATGAGACAACCCTTATAGTTCGCTGGATGGTCACCCTCACACAGGGCACATTTGGCAGGTGAGTCGTTTGATTTGTTGCAACTGGAGGAAGGATGGTGGCCTCCGCAACGGACACATCTGGGAGAGTATGAGCAGTATTTTCTTGTGTGTCCATATTCTTGACAGTTGTGACACTGGATGACATCTTTACGTTTGTGTGGTTCCTCTATTTTTATTTTTGTGTGGAGTAATGACGTTACGCCAAAGATGTCTTTATTTATTTCGGCTGGCTCCAGGTCGACGAAGAACATAGGAAGTTTATTTTTGGTGGTTTTTTGTAGTACGTTGGAAACTTGCCTGACGGAGAAACCAATTTCTTCGATTACTATTCCGACTTCAACTGTTGGAGTAGATGGGTGAAGGTTTCTGACCACTACTCGGAAGGCCTTTTCCTCCTGAGGTTGGTACGTGTGGTATTGAGCTTCTCTTTCTTTCAGAAAGTGGATTACTTCACGGTAATATTTAGAATCTGATGTTTGGATTTTTAAATCGTTTGTAGATGATTTGCAAGTAAATGCGTCTGTACCAATTAGATTAATTAGTGCATTGCGCACTTCAACAAAGTTAAGGATACCACGTACATAAATTGGTGGCGGAAATTTTCTTTTATTATTTAGGTCATCGGAAGGGGTTGAGTTGTCGTGGGAAGTGGGATTGTTTTCGAAGTTTTCGATCGTAGTGGTGTCGTCGGTTGAAAGTGGTGCAAATCTGTTTACCGTTATAAATAATGGTTTGACTTTCTTAGATTTGGGGCTGGCGGTGTCTGTCGATGAATGGTTTCGCTTTGGCGCATTTTTGTTTTTTTGCGTTATGAATTTATCATCGTTTTCGTCCGTTGAATCGGAAGAGTTGAAGACGTAATTTGAACCACTCTGTATACGAGTACCGTGTGAACTATTTGTAGTGTCGATAGATCCTGTTCTTTGTTTTTGTATAGAAATAGCTTGAGACGAATTTTGATTAGGCATGTTTTTGACTATTGTATTTCTGTTACGATTAGTGTTTCTTGCAGTTTGATTATTCATTATAAAAATACGATAATTGTCGGTATATCAGAGTAATCGCCGGTCCAAAGGTCACTGCGCCGGCGATGCCTTGGAGAAGAGATAAGAGAAATATGTATCATACACTAACGTTTTTTGTATGTACTTACGGCGTATTTTGTCTTTTATTTTCTTATTTTTTTTCCCCCTCTATGAGGGTTGAAGCAGCTCTTAGACGCAGGTGCCTACTACAGTATTAGAAACTGAGACGAGTGGTTGTTAGCACGAAAAAAATCGGGTGGAATTAAGGCGATTATTTTTAACATGAGGATTAACGATAATTGCGTGACCGAACGGTTTGGCTGTTCGCGCGAGACTACATAATATAAATTGAAGTTTTCCGTTTAGCCTCAAAACATAAGTTAGGATTTAATCTTGATAAATGTTCTTTTGGATATTGTGAGGTAGAGTATCTCGGATATATAGTGAATGAGCATGGTATACGAGCTAGTACCAAACACGTCGAAGCGATGCTTAGTTACTCGGTCCCGAAGAACCAAAAACAGGTCAGGCAGTTTTTAGGACTAGCGAGTTACTGTCGACGTTTTATTTGTAATTTTTCGGTAATAGCTAAATCATTATATGACCTTGTAAAAAAAAAAGTGTTGATTTTATCTTCGGCGAGAAAGAACAGGAAGCGTTCAAATACTTACGTTTAGTACTAACAAAGACACCCATATTAGCTATATACTCCCCCACAACGGAAACAGAGTTGCATTGCGACGCGAGTTGGTCCGGTTATGGGGCAATATTATTTCAGAAACAGTCTGACAACAAATTTAAACCCGTGTTTTATTTTAGCCAGCGCACATCTCCGGTTGAATCAAAATATCATAGTTTCGAGTTCGAATGTCTGGCGGTCGTGCATGCGATAAAACGTTTTCATGTATATCTATACGGCATATCTTTTAAAGTAATGACGGATTGCGATAGTTTCAGGTTAACACTAAATAAACAAGACGTAAATACCCGAATTTCTAGAAGAACTTTATTTTTACAAAATTACGATTTCAGTATTGTCCACCGTCCTATTTATAATAAAAACATGCAGCATGTGGATGCATTTAGCCGTTGTCCCACGATTTTCGTGTTGGAATCGAATACGTTTAAATAAATACTTGCCGTTCGACAGAGTATGGACGACGATATTGTACATATTAAAAATTAATTGCTAATGAGCGATAACAAATTTTATGAATTACGTAATGGCTTGGTTTATCGCAAAGAAAACAAGCGCATTAGATTTTATGTACCGAAATCGATGGATAATAATGTGATACGTATATGCCACGACGACATAGCCTATGTAGGTTTACTAAAATTTATTGAAAACATATCTAGTGTGTATTGGTTTCCCGACATAAAAAATAAAGTACGATGTTATATAGATAATTGTTTTAAATGTGTTGAGTTTTCTAAACCTAGTGGGAGAAAAGAATGTTTTCTGTTCAGTATTCCGAAGGGAGACAAACCATTTGTTACCTTACACGTAGACCATTTAGGCCCGTTAGAGAAAACAAGTTATAAAAATAAATTCATTTTCGTGGTAATAGATGCGTTCATTAAGTTCATACGCCTTTACCCGTGTCGTAGTACCAAATCTGATGAAGTAATTAAACATTTGTCCAATTACTTCCAAACCTATTCAAAACCATATCAGATAATTAGTGATCGGGGTACATCTATTACATATGCTAATTTTAAAGAGTTTTTAAAAAAAGAATCCGTGAAATTGACTTTGGTTGCATCAGGCACGCCTCGAGCCAACGGTCAAGTAGAGGTAGTGAATAAGTCGTACTAATGCTGGCTAAATTGACGGAGTTAGCGAGCAGGTGGAATCGAGTGTTACAAAAGGTAGAATTTGCTATTAATAAAACCGTACATGGTTCCACAGGTCAAAGTCCTAGCATGCTATTATTTGGTGTACATCAAGTAGGCGGAATTAATGATGAATACTAGATAATAACGTGACCGATAATCCGCGCGAAATGGAGGTTTTGAGAGCTAAGGCGGCGAAAAGGATAATTAAGTCCCAAGAATCGAATGAAATTCAGTATAATTCAAAACGTAAGAAACCGACAATTTACAAGGAAAACGACTATGTAATGATAAAAAATGTGGATGTGACGGTAGGACAAAATAAAAATTAATACCGAAATTCCGAGGACCGTATGTAGTGAGGAGGGTGTTAGGATCAGAATAGATACATAATAGGTGATATAGAGGGGTTCCAATTAACTCAGCGCCCGTATGAAGGTATTGTTAAACCGGACCGCATGAAAATGTGGATCCGTGTTTGAAATAAATTATTTAATGCAATGTTAGGCACATTTTTACATTTACTAAAAGTATTATACTTAATGGATGTTAGTCGATTTAGTATCATGATTATATTGTTTATGTTCTATGTACATGTAAACTTTATATTATAAGAATATATTTATAAAATATTTATTAATTTATATTTTGTATAATGTTCCACAATATGTCACATATTAATATGTTTGTCTATTTATTTATTTATATATATATTTTTTTTATCTATATATACATTTTTTTCTTCAATTATTTTATAATTTTATATGATATTCAGATTGTCATTGTGGTGGAATAGTTAGAGTAGCAGATTATTTTTGGTCAAAAAGGAATCAACATCAAACAATCTGGTTATTATACAAGTTTATGGGCCAACGTCAAAAGCAAATGATGAAAAAGTAAAAGAAGTGTAAGCAGGCATGGAGGAGCTTTTGTAACATGTTAATCCACATGATAATGTAATCATAATGGGAAATTTTAATGCCATATTTGGTGCAGGGAAGGTAGAGAAATCGGAGACTTCGGCTAAGGAATAATAAATGCAAGATGAGAGAAAATAGTAGTGTTCTATAGAATAAATTGGATGGTTATAACGAATACCAGATTTCAAAACCTCAAGAGAAGAATATACACACACGGAAAATGCCAGTCAACGTTACCCCCTACCAAAAACTTTAAATACTGGTGAGAAATTGCTTACTATTTTAGTTCTAAATCTTAACAAAAATAATAAAATGAAGAATAGAAGAAAAAGTGGAGCAGTACTTTAAAAATTACCAATATGGATTTAGAAAACAAAAAGGTACACGAGAAGCAATTTTAGGACTGCGAATTTTAATATAAAAACAGATTGGTAAAAATAAAGTTACATATTTTGCATTCATAGACCTGGAAAAAGCTTTTCATAAAGTAAATTGGAATAAAATGCTGCTCACACTTCAAGAAATAGATGTTGAACAGCAAGACCTAAGAATGATTCATCATTAACTGCTATATCAAAAAAGTTAAAAAAGTTATAAATAAATTAAAACAAAGCTAAAAAGACTAAATACTGGAATCTAAATTGGTGGAGAAATTGTTTCAAAGATACGTTTTGCCGATGACATCGTGATTATAGTAGAGATTGAAGGGAACATACAGAGTGCAATTGAAGGAACGGATGAAATGCTCAAAACATTAGACATGAAAATAATAGTCCGTGCCAGAGACCCAAAAGTAAAAGCTGATGTATAAATTGATAGCCAAAAACTGGAGCAAGTTGAGGAAATGGTATATCTAGGGATAAAAATTACATCTGATGGTTAAGAATCATTGTCACTACTTTAGTTTGTTTAAGAAAATGTACTCATTTTTACCTAGATATTACTAGATTTGACATTCGAGTTATAACGCGGGGTCTAATATTAATAGAAAAAGTTTTAAATTAAATTAAATATCACAACATTTTAATATTATTTAGAATTATATTAAATATCTTAGGATTAATTACATTGCTTTTTTCTTTAACTTGTAAAAACATATAATGTTGATCCTCTTTAAATTTTTCAGTTTTAATAATATTTTTTTCATACTTCATCAATTCCTTTATATTAATATTAATGTCCTCAAAAGTGTTTATATCATGATGGTTAATTATTCCATATAATGCCATTAACCATTTATAGGCGATAAAACAATTTTTTATTTGAAATTCTTTCGTCGAATATTCTGTTTTTGCTATTTTATCATAAAAAATAATTGTTGATCCATAAGTTTCTTGTTTATCTTCAACTTCATTGTAATCATAGGCATTTGTTGCCCTGGCTTTTATTTTTCTATGAAACTTGATGAAAATTTTAAGTAATTTGATTGCTAAAAATAAAAACAATATGATAAGTTTAAAATTTATGTTGTAATAATATAAATTTAATTAGGTAACGTAAAAAGTCAAGGATTGTTTGTGTTACGATACGTTAAATCTTTTTTTTTAAATTAATTTAAACAACTTAAGTAGTTTATAAGCTTATGTATATTAATGTTTTAAATTTATAATGCATATTATATTCATTATTGTATATTTTTAAGAACAGTTACTTGAATTTGAGTGGGTGCGTAAAGTATTGAAGAACGTGATGAAACAGGTTACAACTAAGCCAGTTACTGAATATATTTTACACAATGATGAATTATTATGTCAACACCTTATTACGCACGTATTAATAATAATAATATTGTGTAAACAATTTTTTTAAAACTATTGGTTATAGAATATATTATAATTATAATATAATAATAAATAATATAATATAATTATATTATAATTTTTTTTTATTCTATAATCAATGGTAAATCCTGGTGGATAGTGATACTGTATTTATGTCGATTAGTTAATACGGATTTTTTTTTTAATTGATAGCAATAATTGGATCATTAAGATAATATAATATTGTTGCGTCCCTTATGTCAACGTCGATTCATATATCAACGTAGAAATAGAAATACTAATGTTTGCAAGTTAAAAGATTAAGTCTTTATTTAATACAATTAACTCGTACAAGAATACAATTTTATAAGCACAAGATGGTGTGAGTGGTGTTACGACCTGCCTCTGAAATACTGATAGACGAGACCGTGAGTGGTGTTACGACCTGCCTCTGAGCGTCTCGAATATCCCTAACCGTCTGCTGAGCTCTTGCCCTGGTCTCCCTTATATATGGTTAACCGTCAAGAGTGGTGACTGAGGAGGTGGTGACTTCCGATGACCCTAAGGAGCTCTCTAAATTAAATGTATTATTCAGTTGGGTGCCTTTCCTGCGATTTCATCGGTTCTAAGAATTACAAGACGTGTGATCAAGTCTTAATTGTCAAATTAAATAGTACAATGTTAACACTGTCGTTTACTCATCATTTCTGAGAAGTCCAAGACGTGTGACCATGTCTTATTCATTATATTAAATATCACGATGTGCAGGTGTTCGCTTTATCCGTTGGTGCTACACTGTTTGAATATATTATTCCATTGGTATACACATCACCACTCCGTATAATATATATGTGTTGAAATAACACGGTACGTAACAATATTACAGTAAATACCAAAATGGGCATTTTGAATATAGGCATTATATTTTTCTGATTTCGTGTCCATATTTAACATCGAAGTGACTATTAAATGTAATACGTCTTCGTTGATAAGTTTATTGTTTGTTGTTAATCCCTGAAAACATTAAGGAATATATTATCATTACACTTATGACTTTATATTAATAATAAAAATAAAATTTCTACATTTTAAGTTTAATTTAAATTAAATTTGTAAAAATCTTACTCGATAAAGCTCTTCTATTAAATTTTTATTATTCATATCATATAAATCCCGCAATTTGGGAATAATTGTTGACTGAAATTCTAAAGTATACATAGGTCAATCATAAAGTAATTGATTTGAGTTAGTAATGCATACAGAATAGGTGGGTACCTATTGGTTAAGTTACGCGTAATCTATGAATATTTATATAATTGTAGTCAAATATTATTTAATAAATAATTTGAATTAGTTAATATTCCATTACTGATTTTTTACATTGCCTTTACATGGGATAAACCGAGTAAATGTTGTTAAATGAAAATTAACAAATTAATTTTAATAAAGGATTTATTTATTATTTTAAACTATTGTTAATAACAATTATAATATCATTCATGATCTTAATTACCACGCAAATTTTCATTATTTTGTACATGTTCTAGAAATGAACTAAATTTGTCCTCATCAGGTGGATTATCGTTCTTTTCAATTACATCTAATACTTTTTGAACCGCATAATAGTTCATTAATCTATCCTAAAAAAAAATTAAATATTTATTATTTTTTCAGAAGAAACATTAATTCTGTCATAAAACAATAAAACTACTAAATTATTAATATCTTTAGACTGTGATCGAACTAAGTACTAAGTTAATTTGTCATATGAATAACTGTATTTGTGTTTATTATCACACCCAAATCACTTCTTTTTATGTAACTCTGCGTAAAAAAATGTTAGTTAAAATAAATTCTTGTAGTTGCATTTTATTTAGTGATTTTTTAAATTTTTAAAAGACGTGATACATTATTGAATCTAAGTAATAAATGATAATTTTTTATATTACAAATATGAATGACGACAAATAGGATCAATTGTAAAGTTAAACACTTAAACAACATATTGTTTACCTACTTGGCAGAATGTAAGTAAATTAACATTGTATAAATAATATGTCGATTAAATGTATAACTTCACAATTGATTTTATTTGTCATCATAGGTATCGGAATTTTTTTCATAAAGTTATAAATGTTTTTGACATGATACCAGCTATTTTCTTTATAAAAAAAGTTATTATTTTATTTTATTTGTTTATATTTATTATTTATTATCGCTGGCTTCGTGTTGTAATATCGTACATTTCAGGAAAATTAAGATTAATTGGTTGGAATGGATTCATTATTTTTCCATTTTCATCAATTATAATTTTTTAATACGCATGTCAAATTATGACAATCAAAGAAAAAAATAATGGTTCTGTATATTTAATATGCATGAATTTTCCTAGGATAAATCTAAATAATTTTTTTTCAATTAGATATTATAAAAAGTACAAATTATCACTTAATGTAATTTTAAACCGAGAAAACTATGGGCTTTAACACACGTGGGCCCCGGGGACTTGGCCCCTCCTGCCACCCCCCTTAAACGGGCTTGATTAGCAGCTGTGGCTCAGTCAGTTGGGCAAGATTTAACTAACATTGCTTTAAATAGAGAATCAATACGAAGAGCTCGTCGTCAACAAAGAGAAAAGATTGCAGCAGATATAAAATCTGCCTTTGATCCATCTGACTCACTAGTAATTTATTTTGATGAAAAAATCCTACCAACATTGACAAAAACAGAACACGTAGATCGCTAAGCCGTTTTAATTTCCGGAAATGGTAATTTGAAATTTTTAGGTGTTCCACAATTGTTAAAAGGTACTGGGAAAATAATAGCTGAGGCAATTTATGATCTTCTTAACGACTGGAACTAATCAAATCGTGTGTTCAATTTATATGTTTTGATACTACTGCTAGCAATACAGGACTTAAAAGTGGTGTATGTGTTTTATTAGAAAAAATAATAGAACGAGTATTAATAAAATTGGACTGTCGACATCATATTTTTGAAATTGTCGTAGGTAAAGTGTTTGATTGTTTAATGAGTCCATCAAATGGACCAAATATTGCATTATTTAAAAAATTTTCAAAATCTTGGCTCAACATATAAATAATGAGGGATTTAAAAATTGCTTATTGAGTATATTTCTATCATCAAATTTAAATTGATAAAAACTGATAGGATAAAATTTATTTTTGAACAATTAACCGAGTTTCAACCACGTGATGACTATAAAGAGTTACTGCAATTTAGTTTATATTTCCTCGGTGAAAAGCTTCCCGAAAAAAATGGTTTTAAAAACCCTGAAGCTTGTCATCGAGCAAGGTGGATGGCGAAAATAATTTATTGTTTAAAAATTGTTTTGTTTCGTTTACAATTTGAACTAAAAGACACAGAATTATTAAACTTAGAACATTTTACTTTGTTCATAATGAGAGTTTGTATAAAAGCATGGTTTACTTCAACTGATGCTTCAAGTGCACTACTAAATTATTTAAATTTTATGAAAAATCTGAATGGGTACAAAAATACAAGTAATGGTATTTATAAATTAGCCTTAAACATTTTCTTCCGGACATAAATGGTACCTTGGTGATACATTAATTGGATTTTAATTTATTGACAATCGAGTTTCAGATGATATTAAATTAAAAATGGTCAAGTCTCTAGACAAAATTGGGACTAATGTTCTTGAACACAGAATAAAAATACCAAAACATAGTGTTTCAAATTGTGAATTAAATGATTTTTTTACAAATAATACACATAAGCTTTTTACGTCTCTTAACATTAAAACTGACTTTTTAACAACACACCCTGTTTTGAAAAACAGTACGGAATTTCTGGATGGATAAAAAAAATTAAAACTCTTAAAGTGGCTAATGATGCAGCTGAAAGAGGTATAGCATTGATGACATAATTTAATGGAACTCTTATAAATCAAGAAAAACAACAGCAATATATTCTGCAAGTAATCGAAAAACACAGAAACGATTTTCCTGATTCCAAAAATACAACTTTGTTACAAATGTAATTGGTTGTAAGCCATGTGATTTTTATACACTTTATCAACACAATAGTTATGTAATGTAATGAACCAGTTTTTATTTACTCATTATTGTTCCTAATATAATTTAAAACTACATTTATAATTAAATTTAACATTACAAAAATAAAATTATCTTAGGTATATATTATTTTATATTTGGTATTTTTAAGTGCATTAAGCGACCTTGTAAATTTTTTTAAATTTTTTCATACTTTCACAATATCACTTTTATTATAAAATATTATAAAT